CCGAGGACCTTTGGCTCAAGCCGGCCGAGGTCGCGGCTTTCCTCCGTCTCCCGACTGCACCCAGTTTGGACTCCGGCAGGAACCCCTGATCCAACAAGGGCTACTAACCAACCAACCATCTGGAGTTACCTACGCGATCACGCTTGCCCTCATCATTTGAAGTCATATATCCGGACACACTCATCAATTGCACTATCATTTCTCACCAGACCACACTGTTCTGCTATTTGCTACATCGATTTTAGAGCGAAATCAGCTGGGATGCCAACTGGTCCAAAGCCTGATCTAACTAAGGGCAGCCGAAGACGTAGCCAAGCCTGACCACTGACGCTTTCCGGCGTTGCGGTCTCCGCCTGTGTTACTAGCGCATACCAACTCGTGTCTTTTTTTGTATCAGTTTGCACTGGAAGGTCAGTATTCGTGATGCGAAATCCATAAAAGGGGGCCAGCTGAATCAGTCCGCATGAATGTCTTCTAAATCAAGAACGGTATTCTAACGGAAACAAACAAAAACTCACTGCTTCGGCGAATTGGCGGTTTTCTGGTGAAGCGAAAATTGCCATACCGCGACGCATACCGGGAAGTTCACCCTTATTCAGCACGATGCTTCTCACTCTATTGTCTTTTTTCACAGGACCGACTGTAATGCAGACCAAAAGCTTTACATTGTGGTCTTGGCAAAACTTGTTGGCAGCGATAGTGAAGTCCTGGCGCGCAGTCATTTCCTAAATGAAGAAAGCAAAGAATAAAAGAGGCGGAGAAACTTCCATAAAAGCAGAAGAAATTGTGAGAACGACACGAATTCGGAAGGCTAAGGACTCATTGCTATCATATTGGTTATTAGCGGGGTGGGGGTTTACTCTTATCAGAACTTTACTAGCGTACTCAGCACAGAGAGAATGCTGAGGACCTGCTGATGAGCCGGAGCCCTCGTATCTGTGTCTAGCAGCGGCCTTTGACTATTACCTTTGCTGCCAGTAAGGTCAGTAATTACGTAGACTTACTTACCTACCGCAGGTGAATGCTCGCCCGGGTTTCTTACAAATCAACCCAAATGAAGTTTAGGACGCGCGTAAACACATATCCCCCATCTGTAATGCTTGTTGCAAAAATAGGATGCATGTCAGCTATTGATACAATT